TTTTTTTTTAATATTATTCTCGAAAGATAATATCTTGCAGAAATGGAATCGGTATGGTACAATAATCAGTTCATATAATGGAGATAACGGAAAAATCGAGGTATCTTTAATTTTTGAAATGTTTGTAGACCAGTATTTTCAAGCATTATTTCAGATCTTGTGCTTGAATTCAGTAATTGAAAGATTAATGCAGTTGGCAGTTTGTTGCTGTTCTTATTAGATGAAGGGCTACATAAGTGCATGAAAGCAGGACTGGAATATATGAACATCAAATTTCAAATTTGAAGCTTCAAGAATGATACTGGAACTAATAATTCCCTAATATTTGGGACTGTTCCATTATTTCTAATTTCCATACTGCTTTCAAAATTATTATTTAGTTAGTAGTTGTTAATAACTTAGTTATTATCACATTTAACAGATATTAATTCAGACAAGACGCAGTTATCATTGAAATTGATCAACGTTAAGCATTGATCTTTTGTTTGTGTACCTTTAAAATTTTTTTTTTTGAAAGAATAAGGAATTAACAATACAGATAAATTGGCACGACATTTCGATACATCCAGAGATTATTATCGATAATACAGCGAATTTCTCCGTTGGTGACATGACTGATGAAATTGTAGCATTGGCATCGAAAGCCGAGAAGGAGAGTTTGAGGTCCTCTTTGCTCTTGTTTCCAGATTTTGAATCCACCTTATTTTTTTTCTGTGAAATCATGCTATTATCGAGGTAAAAAAAAATAGAAAATCATAGCAAAAGAGCGAAATTGCATTTGAAAAGATATAAGTGCATCATCGTGCTGAAACAGATATTATCAAAAATGTCTTTGCAGTGAAATGCAGGTACAGTGTATAAAAGCTTGGGATTATGGTTCAAGACAGTGGAGCGTAACGTTGCCAGAAGGTGAATCAGCCGACAATATAGTTATAGGGAAAACATTTCTTGTTTTAGCCACATCGCAACGATATTTTCGAACATTCTCACATGCTGGGACTCAAAAAATGGTCTTTTGTTACTCAGGTAGCTTATTATGTTTTATAAATTTTTTTTTGAATAATTCTTGAGAAAAATGGACATGAAATAAAACAAATAAAATGGAATAAAATGATGCGAATATTTCTTTTTAGGGCCATTACTTACTATGTGTGCATTTAACGATATGTTTACGGCTGTAGTGTTAAAGGGTGGCGCTTATTATGAGGATGATGAACCGCAGTTCAATGTATTTTTTGAAATTTTTTTAGTCTTTTTTTATTTCTTCAAGTTGATTTTGAAATTGGTTTTGCATATATTTATTTTTTTAATTTAGTTTGTAGCAAGTGTTTATAAAATGAAAACTGAAGGCTGGAATAACTGTCAGTCCCTGGCACAAATTGTTCCTATCAGTGTGACTCGCAATGCCAAATTGGCTTGGATTGGATACACAAGTCATGGAACACTGTGTACAATGGATAGCAAATGTGCGTTTTCTTGCTGCTGATATATTTATAAAATTGGGACGTTTTTTGTGAACATTTGGAAAAAATTAAGATAAACTGCGCTATTGCTTTATTTATAGCTTATTAGGACGTTTTTGAACATTTAGAAAAAAATTAAGATAAACTCTTCGTGAAACGAAGTTTCAATCGTTTCACTGAATAGATTTCTAAATTTTAGATTCTTTTTTCATAATCCTCATAGATTTAGTTACTTGAGAAAGTTGTCTACTTTTATTTCTAATCTTGTCTACTTCTATTTCTAATCAAACCTGTCTCAGTATTTTATCATAGCTTTGGTTTCAGATTGCTGTCGGATTCTTTCTTCCAGTAACATTTGGATTCCAGTTTATGATTTTGCCAGTAGTCTTAGAGCTAAATCTGATCATATATTTCTGATTAGTGTTATGGATTATCCGCATTGTGAAATTCGTTATGTATATTGTCGAGGAGTGGAATATCCTTTAGTTGAAAGTCGTTCAATTCCAGCGGTTGTTAAGTGGCAACTTCCACTGTGTGATCAGGTATATATAATTTATTTTATCAATATTTTATGGATACTATCTCGACTCTCTTATACATGATAGTATGAAGATGAGGAAAGTTTCCGCCGAATTTTGTTATAATGCTTGGAAAACAGATTTAATTTTTTTAATCAATGATTAATCACTGAAAATTTTACAGGATTCGGAAAAATCGAAACTCGAAGAGAAACTTTTGTTAGCTGAAATTCGGAGATGCACGTTAAACAGCGATAATGAAGGCGAAAAAGAATCCGAACTTTTAGTTCGCTTTTCTTATGTTCTCTTTATAAACAAATTACTTTCGAAGGAATTATGTATATATTATTTTCTTTTAAGAAAAGATTTAAAGTTCCGAAAATTTATTTTCGTTATTGGGAGGCAATATTTTTGTAAAGTTTTATAGGATATTGCGGCAACATGTACAAAGGATATTGTTCGATTATTTGCTCTTGCATGTAAAACTGATCGCCAGTGTCGTGCAGCCGAATTTGCCGCATACACACATTCTGGACAAATTGTTCAGTCCATGTGCAATTTCGCTTCTAAAACCCGACACCCTTTACTTGCGGAAAAGGTTTGGCTTAATATTTTTTACTTATAATTAAATTAATATTGCATTTCTGGTCAAAAATTATGTATTTTAAAATTAAAATTAGGAAGATAATAGCTAACAATAATTTGTCATATAGTAATTTGATTGAATCTTTTTTTCCATAAGTTGTTGATAGATAAATCAAACAGAAATTTCCCTCAGTGTAACAATTTTTTAGTTTTAACCAATTTTCTTATTTATAGGTTGCTGAAATCGGAAGAATAAATGCTACTGCACAACAGAATACAACACGAGATGAAAATGAGAGAAAGAGAAATATTTTATCAGAAGATAGAGAAAAAAATGAGTTTTTGGCGCCTAAACGATTGAAAAAGGTGAGCAGTCAATCTGTTAGACGTGCATTCAAACACATCTTATATCATGCATTTTCCAAATCTTTTGAAGTATGTAATTTCTTTTATGCAAATTTTGTTCAGGAACGCATCTCAGATGAAGTCATAGTCAAGACTATGCGGCAGGAACAAGAGGAAAATGAATGTATGCATGACTTAGAATCAACTCTAAGTAATGAATCGTCCTCACCATTGTTGCTTCCTGTTCGATCAAGGCTACCTTCCAATCCCTTCAAAGTATAATGTCATTTTGTTATCTAAAAAGATATTCATAGCACCGCTCCATATCACTATCTTGCTCTGTTGATCAACTAGGAAAAAAGCTCAAAGCTAAAGTTTTGTGATGTTATAGGCTCCCATTTTATTAATGCATTCATTTGTTTTCTTCAAGTCATTATATTTTGTTTTTTTTGTTCCGAGCTGCAACATTACATTTCATCAAACATTATATTTGTTTTCTTCAAGTCTTGAACTACATTTATGCTATTAGTTTGCAGCGCAAATCTCAGAATGTATTTGGTTCAAATCAAGATAACTTTTTCGATTCATTAGCTTCTGCATCTACAGTCACTCCGCAAAAAACGAGTGATGTTAGTAGCGATTGGAAGAAAATGAAAAGAGAGGTTGTTTAGAATGAAAAAAAAAAATAATATTACAATTACTAAAATTTGAGTTTACATCTTCTCACTGACTGAAACTAACATGTCAAAATGAATAAATTTTGCTATACTATGGAATTGATTTTCTTCATATTTCTCTAAGTTTTTCAGAGATGAAAACTTTGTATCAAATTAGGAAGAATTTGTTCTAAGCAATTTTTTATATTACGTTTGCTACAATTTCCTATATATTGATTTTGCTACAATTTTGCATTACAGCCATCAAAAACTCGACAAACTTCACTTTTTGTGAAATGTATTGAGGAAAAGTAAGATGTGTTTTTTACCCTCAAGATTTCGTAATTCAAAATTAGGAAATGAAATGCGTGAATATTTTTGATTTATAAAATGGATTGATATTGTTTAAAAAAAAAAAGTTTATGTTAGATTTTCTTGATTTTTTGAAAATTTTTTTATTATTTTCATTATTTGTTTTAGTTTTCAAGTTCTCATCAAAGCTGATGTTTATTAATTTAGTCAAAATATTTAGAGAATCGGGTAAAGCAAAAACAGGATTCGAATTATGGCTGAAATCTGCGGAAAATAAATTAAGGGAAGATTGTGATGGATGCGAAGACTTTTTAGGATATGCTGTCAAGCAGTTTCGGCATTTAAAAACTGAAGAAAAGCAGGTAAGATTTTGATCTTCTCCGTGTTTGTCTAAATTTTTCAGAGGTGAAAATTTTGTATTAAATTGGGAAGAATTATTTGTTTAAAACAATTTTTTAATTTAAGCACTGGAACGATTTGGCTCAAGCTTCGAAAACCTGAAATGGTTAGTATTCATTGGCAGATTATTTGGATTTTCGTTGCTTTATGTCGAACAGTGCTTTATGTCGAACAGTTCAACTTAGCATATTAATAATGTGTCGCAGTTTGTTTCTAAATCCACTAATTTAATTGAAATCACCACAGTAAAGTCAAAAGTTGATTAATCGGCATCATTCATTTGTCTCAGCTAATGGAACTAGGTCTTGTAGAATAGTTGTAATTTAAAAAAATATCTTGTCAAATTGTTCTATTGAGAACTTATTTGTATATTTTTAGCATTTAACGATTCTTTTTGTCCAGCACATTTTACCAGTTTGCTTGCATTAATTATTCTATTATTTGATGAATTAAAAAAATCAACCTTCTAAAAATTTGTTGAATAGTAATTAAATTTTTATGTTTTTAGCATATTACAATAATCTTTATAAAGTTTCTGAATCATCTTTATATCTGTATTTCGATTTTTGTATTTTTTGTGACTCTTTTTATTCTTGCTTCTATCAAATATTTTTCTGATAAATTAAAGATTATTTATGCAAGGCTCCAAAAATTTTCTGCTTGATATCATATTAATAAGATAATAAAAAATAGTTTGAGGCAGTAGCACTTGCTCTTTTTACAGTTAGCAAATATAGAAATTATAGTGAATTAGAGGATAAAATTCAACAATAGGGTAAAAAATCTAGAATTGTTGTTTGTTGCATGAAATGTTGTTATCATCATGAAGTATCTCAGTTGAGTTCTCGAAAATAGATAAATGGTTTATAAAAAAGATGGTCCGAATCAGTAGAGAAGCTTGAAGAAATAATTTTTTTCCTATGTTGGAGTTATTTATTCGAAATTTAGTATTTTTATTATCGCGATGAATAAAACTGTTAAAAACCATAAACAGCGAACACAAGAATTGGATGTTATGATATATTTGATACAAATACGGTTAAAAATTGGGGCGAGGAAGAAAAGTAATATCCCAGCCAATTGATTTCTGCAGAACATATTTGCTCTAATTTTGATTTATGCGATTCTGTAGCATTCTAATGAATTCTCTTGCAATTGTAGTCAAACACAGGATGAAGTTATATACTCCTTGCTATAGTATGCTTTCATTTCTTTAGCAATTTTAGAAAAATTTTGAGCTTTTAATTAATTCAGTTTGGCACTGCAGCAACTAATTTTTTTCCGACTTCATTTCTGTTTTGGAAAATATTGTTGTAGAAAAAGTAAGTTATCTTTGCAGATTTCTGTACCATGGAAAAGCATATTTAAAATGTGCTTAAATGAGAAAGGTGACTGAGCAGTGCTGTAAATATTTATGTATTTATTCTGAAATTCCTTTTACGTGAAATATTTTTCCGTTACTTCATGATTTAACATATTTGTATCCATTCCATTCAATTCTTTTCCTCTTTTCTGATAAATTTTTCATTTCAAAGTCACAATTTTAGCTTTTTGCCTATTGGTTATGTATAGCGGGATGGTTGAAATAATTTACCTTTTTAATTATAATTGATTGCTTTGGAAAATCCTTCGTCAAAATTAACAAGTCAGGCGGAAAAAACTCACTTTCTGGTGAATTGGATAATTGACTTCGGACAATTGACATATGAAGGTAGTTGCAAGACACCTGTTACTGTAATATACTATTCATCAAAATAGCAAAGCCGCCCTACAGGTACTGTATTTTTCTCATTCAATTTTTTTCCTTCATACATTCAGAATATTATCATTATTGTTAACAATTAATTTTATGAATTTCATTTTCACCGATATTTGTGCAATTCCGCTATTCTAATTAAGAATGATAAAAAAAAACATTTGCTTCTCATTGATTACGTAATTGCTTTTCTAATTTACTTCATTCAACAAGTTAAATAAATGATATTGAAATAACGAGTAACATGCAGATGTATCGTTAATCACAAGTTTTCGTATCTCACATTTATTAGAATTTTTCTAAAATATCAATTTGCTATCGTTCATTCATTCGAATTATATTCAAATAATAAAAATTCTTTTATCAAAGCGATATTAACAGTACTTTCATCAAGTCAAACTTGTAACAAACTGATAAATGAGTATCGAGTTATTCCTGTTAGGGATATGAATGAATTTAATTTTGATTATTTATCAAACATATTTGATATTTCTTAAATCTCCAGTGAACTCAACCATTCATAATCGCCATAAAGAAGTAAAACGAAAAGGGAAGTTTACTGGGAAAGAAAGAGATTTGAAAGGAGGCTTTTTAATGAGTTATTTCCTCATGGGAAAACAATGTGAAGATTGCACCACAAATAATAGATGCGAGTCATTTTTGATAACTGCCAATATATTTCATAACTCAATTCTTTAAAAAAAAAAACTGAAAAAAACAAATTTTCCACTAAAAAAACTTTTCTTCTTAATGTAATTAGGCGGAAAATTTGCTATTTTTTTATGACAGTCAAAAGCAAATAAATACCAAATGACAGATAAATCATCTGACGCAGAATTGCGACATTTCAAAATGTGACATAATTCGAAGATGGCGTGGATAATGGTCGCTGATGTCATTAATGTGGAAAATGGTTAATGAAATGCGGAAAAACGCACTCGTCCGTGCCTGAATCTCCATTTATCTATTCATAGTATTCACGTAATCCGCTGTCCTGGACTGTTTGGAATGAATATCTCTGAAAAAGAACGGAATGGAACTGTTCTTTGTTTTACAGTATAGCTGATTGTCTTCTATTTCAGATTAGAAAAACGGAATATAATCATGAAAAATGGCAGATGTGAAATTGGGTATTAATGTGATGAATTGTTGGAGAATAATTCATACGAAATTTTAAAAGCAGTTAGAGATGAAACAGAGATATGGACTTAGTGCTTGAGAATTCAAGAATTAGACTAAACAGGAGATTTCGTAGAACTGTATTTATTGAAAAATCTAGCCCCACCAATGAGATGTTACTTAGGCTTTAAAGGAAAAACGAGATAATCATTGTCTGCAATTTCCTTCGTTTTTTTTTTTGGCTGTCCATTCTACTGCAGTGAAGAACAGCTGTTACACAACAAAGCTCCAAAAACAAGCCAAGCTTCTATCTAAAATAACACTGCTAGGCCAAATAAATCTTCTTAAATGCTTCTCCAACTAATCTTACTGCTTCCCACTTGTTTCATCTCCAATTTTATTTCCGGTATACAAATTTTTCTTTTATTTAATTTATGCATGCTTTCATAATATTCGTCATTATTCCAGCTTCAGTTAATTATGGATTTAAAAAAAGAGCTCAGTTAAGCTGATTTCCTTTTTTTATTTAATTAATGAGCATTTTAGGGAACTGAACTGATCGAGTAATCAGTTCAGATTATTAGGCGAATGCTTTAAAGTAGAATGGTAGGCTCAGATCCTGTGATAAAAACTTATTTGCCTTTCATTCATTTTGCATTCAACTATTGTTATATGCGGAAAAGTTTACATTTAGCTAATTATTTTAAAATGTCACCTTAAAATTATTATTTTTAAATTCATTTAGATTAATTCTACTCATAACAAATAATTTTTCAAATGCAATAGAGTGGAAATTATTAACACGTACAACTGTTTTTATTTACAGCACATGCTTGTTATTACTGCGTTTCATATGCTCATTTATTGGTACCAAATTTACGATATCAACTTGGCGCTCAAACGGATATTTTCTATTGGCCCATTGATGCATCCTCGCCAAGCTGTTCCAATCCATTACTGGCCAATTACTCTCATCAAATTCATGCGCAAATATGCACCAAATTTCCACTCTGTATCACATTATCACCTAATATCGCAAGTATTTGTTTGATCATTTTTTCAATTAAATTTTGGTATTAAAATATCAGTATCTTTTCTCGAAAGTTATTCAATCATTAATAATTCATTGAAGTATCCTAAGTAGGACATAAATATTGCTCTTTCAAGAAACTTAATAAAAGTTATATTTTAAATTTTATTAAAACAAACTGAAATGAGACCTAAAAATTTATCTACTCATTGTTCATTTTTTTAAGATGTAAGTTTTGTTGTTCGTGGATGTATGGAGCAAATATTAGTCACTAAATTGAGGATCAATGAAAAATTCCAAAAAAATGGGTCAGTACATTTTAAAGTTTATATTATTTCTTCTACAAATTTTCTTTAATTTTTATAAATTTTAAGTCTGAACAATGCTTAGCATTTTTTTGTTGAAAGTATTATTTTACAAATAGCAAAAATAGCATTTGCTTAACGTTTATGTCAATATCAATTAAGGAAATTTTGCTTTTTTTTCATGCCTATGTGAGAGAAAATTTAAAAAAATGAGTTTATCAGAATTTAAACCATTAGTTTTCAGATGTTATACAGTTCGTTCGAAACAAATTCATCCATCACTTTCTCCACTGGACTATATCATTTGTGTTTGCTCTAATGAGTACTGTAATTCTGATGTGCAGAATCGATTTCCATACATTCCTGAATCCGAATCTCTCAATTTACTGTTCGGTGTTGAAAGCGAACGGATAGCAGAAAGAGTTATTGCTGAAATTCGTAATTTGGCAACTACTTTGAATCCATTACCTGTACTTATTCTGAGTCTATTTTTAATCAGTATTCCGTGCATTATGAAATAATATTCTTTACTGAATTTAAAAATTAAATTTTGAATTTAAATAATTTTCTGGGATTTTCCAACAAAATTTTATGTAAATGTTTAAATATATATGTAACTTTATGCTAAAAATCATGGAAATTTAAAAATCATAAAACCATGGAAATCATTCATATAATAAAAAGTATTAAATCAAATGAATCTTCTATCTTCATCCTAATGCAGAAGAAGAAGAGATTTTTCAGCCTCAAAATTTTTTAACTGTCATAAAATTTAATTTTTGAATGTCATTTTTATCTTTTCCCAGAAATTTAGAGTGCTTCATGAAATTTTAATGTAATTTACTTCTTTATATTTTCTCTTTCTGAGCGAAATGCAATTCTCATTGATAGCATTACTAATAAAGAATATTATTTGCAAAGGATCATTTATGATTTTCAATTCAATTCATTTAATCCAATGCATTATGTCATTCATATCGGTTTCTTAATAGGAAATGAGTTAAGTACGTAATTTAACTTCTCAACTTAACTTTAGATTCAGTAGTTTTTTTTTTATTTCTACGTCCAAACAGCTAAAAAATTTCTACCTTATTTGTTTAATGTTAACAAAAGAGTATATTAACGGATATAATTACAAAAACGTACTTCCGTTATATGATTTAATATAGAGTTTAATAAAATATTTTTACCTAAATACTTTTTCCACTTTCATCAAGCAGGATCAAATTCGGAATTGACAATTGTAAACATCATTTCAATTTCGTCAAAATATTGCAGAAAAAAAAATGAAATTTAGTATTGATTCCAGAAATAAGACTGTAATTAATTACATGCATGGAGTGTCATGCTATTACGCTTTCTGTGACTTCTGCTGCTTGATTTAGAATATTTGTAACGGACAAAGAGAGAAATAATCGAACTATGACGGTACTCAATCATGATGGTACTGACATTTAATAGCTCAACCGGATAAGCAGTCAACGGCTGTATTATGATGAAATGCTCATCAACAATCAATCATGGTGATACCACCGGTCACTAGTTCAAGTACCTGTCAGCAGTTCTATGTCACTTATGTATATAACTTATGGTTACAATTGCTAGTAAAGAGTTCATTTATTTCATATCCTGCCATCTGAGGTCATGAAAAAAACTTTTGCGACCAAAGTCATCAAACTTCAATGCTAAAGTGAAGCTTATTTTATCGATCGATAATTTCCAGTGATTTCAATAGAAATACCTCACCAAACTTTTGATTTGATTAGTATAACCGAAGTTTCAAGCTAGTAATATATTTGATAATTAACTTTGGTCATAAAATAACGAAACATTTCAGATTTCAAAGAAAAATAAGAAAAAAGTGATGACGTTAAAATACTAAATTTTGATGACGAGCAGGTAATAATGACTCTTTTAGATGCATGTTAAAATGGCCCATAAGTTCTACAAACTAGTAAATAAATGATAATTTCTAAGCAAATTAATAATTAAAATGAAACAAAATTTTTCATCCGAACATTATCAGACAGTTTGATGTCGATTCTTTCCGAAATATCGCTTTCCACTCGAATTGAAGCAAAAATGACGATTGATGTTGGATTTGAAATGTTTGAACTGTGATTGAAATTGTTTCTGTAATAAAGCGTTTATTTCTATTTTTTAATACATGAAGGAATTTGTTTACATAATGCAATGAAAAAGTGTCACTTACGGACGCTTTGGATGAGCCTCATTCGTCTTCATCTTGGCCCAAAATGATCCAATAAATAGCCAAATGAATAATAACTTCATCTCTCATGAATTATTTTATTCTTTCTCTTCTATAATACAGCAACTTATCAATCATCCATCATGCAAAATATCATTACAGGAAAATTCAGTAACATGATTATTTAATTTAATACTAATATATCATAAATGTAAATATCACAATTATATAAATAAAACAGTTAATTCCACAATAACGATTGAAAATTTATATTGCATGTTGGTTTTCATGGACGAGTTGTGCAAAGAATAATACTGCTTCATTTTATATTAGGGGGTTATTTGGAGATTTTTCAAGATTAGATTTGGTAAAGAGATTTTGTATTGGTATCAGATTGAAGAGTGATGTATTTGCAGAGAACTACTGATAGTTATTAATTAATTAGGACGAGAAAAGCGAAAGGTATACGTAATTTTCGAGCCGTACGTATACGGTCGGAGATTGAAGACACACCGACAGGCTCAACGATGAAACGATAAAGAATGCAAAAAAGCTCATTTAGGTGCGCGATGGAAGGTTAATCGCTTCGGTGCAGCATCACGGTATCGTCCTCGAAAAAGTGTAGTTTATTTGAATCTTCAGTTTAGTGCCTTCTCTTTGCACAGTATTTGATTTCCAGTCATACATGAAATGTTTAGATTATTTAATTCAAGTTCTGATATATATAAAGCAGTTCAAATTTTTTACTAGCGAATGTTTTTGCATGGAATGTTTAAGTGTTCCTGAAAGTGATAAAGAAAGGAAAAGACTATTTTCTCCATCGAAATATTGAACTGAAACATTGATGTTTCTGTGGTATTTTCCATGAAGTGATATTTGTAATAAAAATAATTTACTAAAAATTATATTTACTTTCTCTTTTTCAGTGGTGCTGAAGCTAAGTAGCCTAACTGAGCTATTCGCAAATGTGTACAGTTAATCAGGAATGGAAGGAATATTACTGCGTTTGTTCCAAACCATGATTGCTTGAATTTCATTGAGACATTGCTTCCTTTCATTACTTCATGTTTGATAACTTTGGTTGCCTGTAATTAGTAGGTTAAGTCGATTCCAGTGGCGTCATTTTGTAGGGTCTTTATTACAGACGAACTTTTCCTAATTAGTAGCTTGCATCGTTACTGCTTTAAATGTTGTGCAGAACTTTAAGGAGGTATCCTTTTTTATTTTTTGCTTGCAGTATGAATATGCATCTGTTGTCATAAAATTTTTGTTACAGGAGAACGACGAATCCCAGTGGCTCGCTTCGGTAGAAAAAGTCATGCATTTCAGGTGTACGTTTCAAGTATAAAAGCAGCTAATACATCCTCGATTGCTTTGTTTAAAGATAAAAAAGAGAGACAGCGTTCATGAGCCCTTGTTTATTGTTTCGTATCGATTTTGATTATTGTAATGCATAAAGATTTTTAAAAAACTTTCTAAACTGTTTTTTCTCGTTTCTTTTTTGTATCAGACATCTGCAATTACTCTGACTAATATTTGTCACAAAGAAAAGCGTGATTTAAGTTTGGAATGGAAATAGACGGCGTTTACAAAAACATTATAGCAACCAGTTTTTAAAGTTCAATTTTGGAAGAAGAAAATGCTTTCCAAAGCATACATTTCATAAAATGTCTCGGCATGCATTTATGGACGATGCATAATGCTGAGTGGATGCTGTTTCAAACTTCAAGACTGACTTAAAACCGAAGTATCGTTGATGACAGCCACCACATTTTTGTAAGACGAGAGCGGGGTGTATCGTAAGTCAAGCACGGAGAGACCGCTGTTTTCACAAAACCCAATCAGAGTGTTCTATCAATATAAACTGTTTTCTATGAGATACATTGGTAGCATACTGAAATAAGTGGGGGCGTTTTTCTCGTCGTGCTTGGGGTTGAGACTGGTCTGGTACTGAAGTGGTGCAATACTCCGTTATCAATTAGTTTTTCGTCTCAGTGCTTCAGGCTGTTATTTTGATAGAATTGGTTGGCCTGTGCACAAATTGGTTGATAGTGTTTCTGTAGTGAGAATTACGGAGATGAGATTGATTTAAATCACCATTTGTCGGAAATTCGTTCCACTGGGATTTCCAACGATTAATTATTCCTTTTTGTCTCTTGCTTCACAAATGTTAGACCTGTAAAATAGATTAGAAAGTGACATTTCTTTATTTTTTGAGAGATCTATTACCACATTTATGAGATAAATAAAACAGATAAAACTCGAGAAACTTCATGATTAGAAAGGGATTATGATGAATGGAATCGTCATTTATTCTTTATCAAGGAAAAAAGAACAACTTGCAGATGTCGGTAGAATGCCCGATACATCCTGGCGCTCATCTGGTGGAGGATCATCGAGCCGGTGATTTGATTTGTCCCGAATGTGGTCTGGTTGTGGGAGACAGGTATCATCTATTTGTTTTGTATAATTTTATTTATTCTAGATGTAAAATTTTGAAAAAAATGACATTAAGCTGAAAGTAAATCTCTGTTTGAAAATTATATTCAAGACTAGTGGATGTGGGCACAGAATGGCGATCATTCAGTAACGAGAAATCTGGTGCAGATCCTTCACGTGTTGGAGCACCGGAGAATCCACTTCTTGGAAGCGCTGATTTGTCGACATCTATTGCTGTCGGTTTTGGTAGTTCTGAGAGCGATCACAGGCAATACACATTTTATTTGTAATTAAAATGGTAAAATGGGTTGGATTTGTTAGTTTCGAACTCAAATCTTTCATTATTATATCAAGCCTTTTAAGCATAAAATATTTACAAATATTTTTATTATTTGATGATTTTGTTTGAATATTTTTGTTTATCCAATTAATTTATTGTTTTCATTACATAAGTTCGATTATTTGTAGCTTGGCAAATGCGCAACGCAAGAATATGAATAACATGGATCGACAGATGGCACAGGGTTTAAGTGTAATTCGTGAAATGAGTGCGCGCATTCACCTCCCAAAATCTATAGAGGTTTCTAAGTTAATATTATGAGTATATTTTTCCTCTTTTAGCAAATGAATATTGTCTGGAGATGAGGACAATGAATATTTCGCATGAATAATATATATGTGGCTGAATCTTTCAGGATGGTGCGGCGAAGATTTTCAAAGATGTTTTGGATAGCAAAGCATTACGAGGGAAAAATAACGAAGCTCAGGCAGCAGCATGTTTATACATAGCTTGCAGAAAGGAGGGTGTTCCACGTACATTTAAAGGTTATTATTGTCACTGTTGTTGTGTTGCTTCATATCATTGTAATTTTATAAATATATTTCTTAAATGATTAAATATAATTTTAGAAGATTTTCAGAAATCTGTGCTGCTTCTCGTGTTTCCAAAAAAGAAATAGGACGATGTTTCAAACTGATTATAAAGTCATTGGAAACGAGTTTGGAGCAGATTACTAGTGCAGATTTTATGGTCAGGCTACTTGGTTTTTCTCCTGATTTCTGTTTTTGGTAGCAAAAATAATTTTATATAAGTCATTTAGTTTCAGATATTTCTCCGCTCTTTTTCTTTTTAGTGTTTCTAGCATATTGTTTCGCAATTTAAACCAATTTATTTATGATCTTGTTCTTTTTAGCGTAGAATTGATTGTTGAATTGTCATGGATGAATAAACTAGAGCTTAAACTGTGTAGAATGAGTATAAAAGTATGGAATAAGTCTTACATCACGCTTGCTTCACTAAATGATAATTAATACTATTAATAATATTATTTCGTTTATCCCAACGATTTTTTCAGTCGCGATTCTGTGGTAATTTAGGTTTACCACATAGTATCCAAGCTGCGGCAACACGAATTGCAAAAAAAGCTGTCGAATTGGATTTAGTTGCTGGGTAAGAGTTTGCTCTTTTTTTGAATGCTTTTGAATTAACTTTAATGGTCTAACGCCAAGCACTTATTTTATTCATTTTAGCCGTAGTCCGATATCTATAGCTGCAGCAGCTATATATATGGCAAGTCAAGCATCCAGCAATAAAAAGACTGCTAGAGGTTTTATTTATGGCATTGTTTTCCACATTAAAAAAAAAATCTATTTGAAATGTTGGTGATGTTTATAAAGAGTTTTGAAGAAAGGTGTAAGATTCTAAAAAATGTAAGTATATATTTAATCTACGGTATGCAAGATATTTATGTTTAAGTTTTCAGAAATTGGTGAAATTGCGGGTGCTGCGGAAGTGACGGTAAAACAAACATATAAACTTCTTTATCCTCGTGCCGCGGAATTGTTTCCTGAAGATTTTAAATTTGCTACAGGAGTTGAATCGCTTCCCCCGTCATGAATTTTGATAATGTTATTGTGATATTAAATTTGTATTTATTACTTTTTAGCTTTTCATTTGTTTATCGGATTGTTTTCTTTCCTTTCATCATCAAATTTTATATTTTTTGGTGATTTGGTTTTACTCGGTTGAAGCTTGTTTTTCTCTTTATTAGGCATATCTCATTGTACTATAGACACTATTATTCCAATTATTATACAATTCATTTTAAATTATGGTTGTTCATTTTTCATGGGAACAGTAATTTATTCAATTAGGATTTCCAAATAGGCAAACCTTATAACAAACATTTTTTTACTCATTAAAAAATTAGAACTATTGATTCACTTTGTTTATAAAAATTATTTTTCCTCCAATTTTTTGTAGTTTATATTTTTAACAGTTGGAGTCTTTTGTTTAGTAAAGGCACAAGTATTTGTGGTTAGATATCAGCGAAGTGGTTTTATGGTTTCTGTGATGAAGTTGTAGCTGACGAAGCAAGCGTTTTGCGGAACCAGAATTGGAATAGTTTTTGAAACAGCAATTATTAATTTAGTCATGGTTAAAGATGTACGGATTTACCGCTTTTGCTCACAATGCTTATATATTCAAAGTGTCAATCAGTGATATGCATAAAAATGTGCTATAAGATATGTAAAGAAAAATTACATAGCTTTTTATACATTCTGATATTTGATAAAGGAGCGAACAAGCAAAAGGAAGCATGGAAAGAATATGCATAATGTTAACTTGAAATACGTTTAATATCGAGTCGTTGGTTCCCGCCAATCGTAGGCATGATTCCAGATAAAAGTTGTAACATTGACTCATGCAGTATTTATACATGTGTGTGTGTGTGTGTGTGTGTGTGTGTGTGTGTGTGTGTGTGTGTGTGTGTGTGTGTGTGTTGTCTATGTATGTATGGAAGAAAGAGCTGTAGGAAGAGTGGTTAGGTTTGTGCGAGTATTTCAATAAGCCTAAACTCTATAGGCTTTCTGGATGAATCTATGGCTTCTGATTATGCATGTTTTCCCTACGTAGTCGTACTTATTATTCAACAAATGGCATAAAAAGAGTGCATAGTGCTGCTAGGATGGGTATGTTAAATATACTAAAAAGGATGACAACGAACAACTTGTCGAAAGAGAAGTCATATACTTTCCCCCTTTTTTTAATCTTTATTTCTTGCTCCATCTTTCTGTTTGCTAAAGTTGCACCAACTAGGCTAGTTTTCCATCTCTTCTTTCTTCCTAGCTAAAATGGCTTGCGTGGATTATCCTCTTACTAGTATGTTTTAATATTTTGTCTTCATCTATTGCATATAAGTACATTTATCTATTCCTGTTCAAACATTGATTTTTTTTTCTTTTTTTTAAATATCATGCATGCAGCTTATATTTTTCATTGTTTTACACATTATAGATTCTTTGTGTTTTCAAACATTTAGGGATCTAATCAGCTAGGCACTTTTTCTTCGGTGAAATTGCTGAATTATTTTTTTATTTCATGGATTGTAAACTGATAATGGAAATATTTTGCTTCTTGTTTAATAATTGCAATATATTTAAAAAAGAAAAAAAAAACATTTCAACTATCTTCTTTTTTAACTACCAACTAGAATATGAGTCTTATATTGCCACTTCATTTTTGCATAATCTCAATATGAGTTTTTCCACAAATTTTCTAATATCATTAAAGTCTTCGTGGTTATTCAAAGAACAGTTCCAACTGACTACCCCTCTCAAAGGCTTATTGTTGCATTCCAAAATAGCATTAGTCTACCACAGCTTGGAAATTCAATAATTTCGTCTTTCTTACTTCCATTGCCTTTTATTATTTTTGCTGCCATCATTTCATCAAATTATCAATCAAATTCCTTTATCATTTGATATGTGAATATACTAAAATTATTTCAAACATATCGTTTGATTCTATTAGCACTAATCAAATATGATGATCATTGGATATCTTCCACTTCATTGTTTATAAAATAATTTTGCTACTCCTTCTCTTAAATGTTATTCCTACTATTTTTTCATATGTATAATTAAATTTTAGCTGAAAATAGATTATGAATTTACATTTATTATCAGTTACTATGCTGAATTTATCATACATTCATCGCTGTATGATTATAAATCTAGTTAAAAATAGCTTGCATAATATATATA